AATAGAGTATTTGATTCAATGGAAAGGCTATCCATCGTATGAATCAACTTGGGAACCAGCTAAAAATTTAGCAAATGCACCTTTGATAGTTCAGGAGTTTGAACGTATGTGCAACGAGGACGTTGCATCTTAAAAGGAGGGAGGTTTGTAACCATCTTTAGTTAGTTAGAACTAAAGTAGAGGTTACTCTGAATATTGATGTAGATACTTTAGTGTGCACTAGTCATAGCTGCCACGTCAGCGATCCGCGCACTTGGTAGGTACAGAGTGGATGTGTTAGTTGACAGTGCCACGTCAGCAATCCGTGTGCTTGTAGGTAAGGATTGAGTGTGTTAGTTAGTGTGTTAGTTGGGTGCGCCACGTCAACGATCCGTGTGCTTGTTAGGGTTATCCGCCACGTCATCCATCCACTAGGAGTGGTATGGATGGTGAGGATTAGATCTTATCACCTTGTACTTGTTGGTGAGAGCTATATAAGGGAGAGGAGAACCATTGTTGGTATCTCTCATCTTCAGAGTTTACGTTTCTATCTTCGAGTGAACTTCTCTCTAAACCCTAGTGTTACAGGTGTGAGGAGAGTTTGTGCGTGAGTTGGAGTGACACATGGAGAGCTTGTGTGAGAAGCTGTTTGGAACATGAGTGAGAGGATGAATCCTAGTCTTCTAGAACCATGATGCGCTACCGCAAAGCCATCAGAGGTAAACCTGAGTGAGAGTCAGCCCGGAGGTTGCAGTGCCAATTGCCGGCAGCAAGGGCATACTGCAGTAAAATGTAATCAACCTCGAGTGGCAAGGCAACAAGTGGGATTCATCACACCACCGCTGAAGGAGGACGCGCAAGTCAACCAAGTAGAACAATGTCCGGAGGAACAAGACGATGAAAATCGATGGCTGGACGAAGAGACTATGGTTGGACGGGTTGAAACCCGAAGCGCCCCTCGGAAGAAGGAGTCCACTACGGAGAAGGCGAAGCGAGACAAGAAAGGTGCCAAGAAGAAGTACTCAAAGGAGACGGAGTCACGAGAGCAGAAGAAAGGGGCTTCCCCGAAGACTTTCGAGTCTTCGGTGAAGAAGGAGTCTTCGGCGAAGAAGGATAAGACGGTCGAAGAACTTCGGACTTCGTCGCAAGACAATTCCCAATCCGATGGGCCTGCATTGAAGATATTGCAGAAAGCGTATGCCTTGGACATTAAGGATGAGGTGGGAGAGTTGCTTAGAGAAGAACTAGAAAAGACCCCACCACGCAAGACGAAGGAGAAGGAGTCAGTGACCGCCGAAGCACCGGCTTGAGCCGAACGGGCCAGTCGAATGGTCAAACCGCCCAAGGACCCTTATTATGACATTGCGGCAGATTTTTTTGATCGACAGGCCAACGTGACGTTCCGACAGCTGGTTGCGGACAATAACGCCTACCTTAAGATGATGAATGCCGCGTTGAAACGGACGAAGCGGGCCCGAAGGCACAAACTTCCCCGGGTGTATCAAATTCGGTATGAGGATTTGGGTCCACCAGAAATTGATATAGAAATTGGGGGGTGCAGCGTTTGTAAGGTGCCCTTGGATTCGGGATCGGGCATTAATATAATGACCGAGGAAACGGCCAATGCCCTTGGGTATAAAGAATTTCAGCCCACAACTAGAATGATCCGTTTGGCTGATCAGACACGAAGGAAATACATAAAGACATGCCCTGGGTATACTTAAAGACATTCGGACTACCATTGGTGGGGTTGTGTTCTTTCTGAACTACACTATCATTAAACCTCTAACCAAAATGGGGTACGATGTGTTGATTGGTCGCCCATGGTTCTACGGTGCGAAGGTCAAGTCAGATTGGCACAAACGGACCTTGCAATTTAGGGACCCCAACAATAAGGAGGGTCCTAAAATCACTGTTCCATGGGAGAGAATCCCGCATGAAAAATTATGAGGAATATATGAGAAATTACCACATGTTACTATGGTAACTTCTCAAATAGTATAAATAGAGAGGTAGAGTAGCATCTCTCAAGCAAGTTCGGAAAGTCATGTGTGAGGACTTGTTTCAATAATGAAGGAGTGAGAATTTTTTTCACTATCTTGGAATATCAACGTGTTTTTGAGTTTGTGTGAATTGAGTGATATATGAAGAGTTTGTGTGAGAGGGTGTTTGGGACACGAGTATGAATGCGAATCCTAGTCTCCTAGAGACATGATGAGCTACCACAAAGCCATCTGAGGTAAACCTGAGTGAGAGTCAGCCCGGAGGTTACATTACGCTTGGTAGATAGAGAGTAGGTATGTTATTTGACAATGCCACGTCAGCGATTCGTGTGCTTGTTAGGTAGAGAGTATGTGTGTTAGTTGACAGCGCCATGTCAGCATTTCGTGTGCTTGTTAGACTTATTCGCCACGTCATACATCTCTAAGAGTAGCATGGATGGTGGGGATAAGATCTTATCTTCTTGTACTTGTTGGTGAGAGCTATATAAGGAACATGAGAACCATTATTGGTATCTTTCATCTTCAGAGATTATGTTTACATCTTCGAGTAAACTTCTCTCTAAACCCTAGTGTTACAATGGTAAAAGAGTAAACTTGCTTGCTAAACCTTAAGAGTGTGAATTACCCTTCATGGAATAGCAAGTGGAAAGTGGAAAGGGTAAAATTGTGATTTTGCAGACATGAACATACTTGACAGGAATCCAACACCGCACTGGTCGATTCCTAACCTATTCGATATTCAGCTTCGTTGCATGAAAAAACATCATTTTTGGATGTAACTTGTGATTTGTTGGAATGCAAATTTTATGACTAGAGTGATGGAATCAAGAGTGCCATTTATTCTTCCAATAGTGAGTTATGAAGAGACTTGAAATTAAACCATATACATTCTATATTGAATGTTTCATGGATTTGAATCACAAACCACCCGTCCCAGTTTGGTTCAATACTTATGTAGAGATTAAAACAGTTTACCGACACAAAAAATTGTGGAGAAATTTTCTTCTGATAAATCATGTGGAAGAGTACTATAAAAGTGTGATAGAATCATCTATACCTTTTGTGGCTTCTTTTTTGAGAGTTCATATAGTGATTTTTACTCACCTTGTATTAGAGTGAGTGTGAGAAAGCATGGGGACATCAATCAATATGGATGATGTTCTCAACGCAATCATGACAAAGATGAAAAAGTTGAAAAAAGCCATAGTAGATTGACAGATCAAACAGTAAGCCATGGAAGATAAAATCTTTCCATTAGAGAGTGAGAAAGTAGAAAGAGAAAGAATAGTATAGATGAAAATTGAAACTCAAGTTCAAGCTTTCTAAATTTAGCAAAATTCAACTCCTATTTATGCAACAAAGTCAAATAGTCAACATCTTCAAAAAATTGAAGATGAAGCAAATATTTTAATGGAAAAATCAAATGGGAAAATCTTTCGATTCGCTTGATTTTGATACTTGAAAATTTGAAAGTCTTTTAAATGGAAAAATCTTGTAAAATGAAAACTTACAAATGGAGTAGAGCAATAGGGATGTTAGAGGGATGAATAATGAGGATGAATATTTATTTATACCGTTTTCATATTTTTAATTATATTGTAGGAATGTTCAAGAGATATTATCTTGCGGATAAGGTTCTCACATAGTACACAACACATGGAAGAATGCTTTCAGAACTAGTTGTTTTCATTTCGTGGAGTAGAATGCAAGAAAAACTTCTGCAAAATTTTCAAGCAATGTACTTTCTTCAAACTGCAAGAATAAAATGGTTTTGAAACAAAAAAGAATTATTAATGAAAACCTTGGACGTGTTCAAACGAGGCTTGAAGTATCAAATTTGAAAAGAGTTGATGATAAACAATCTATCTATTGTGAATGAAGTAATTGTAATTGCTCAATGAATTTCGGCTGTTTTTTGTGTCACACATGATGAATCAAAAAGCAATGAATCCATTTGGCCCTACCATGAGAAAGTCAACTTGTTTCCCCGTCCCATTTAGAGGTTTCTGAGCATTTCCAACTTGCCTTAAATGTAACACAAAAATGACTAATTCGTCAAGCAGACTTTGAGCATTTCATGTTCTTCAGTCCGTTTTTTCCAGTATTGTATAAGTGTTATACTTGTCTGTACACTTCACTAATATTGTAATTTCATTGGAAACATTCAATATATATCACATCTAAAATTCATTAAGTATTTTTTTTAGTTTTTTTAATATTAAAATTAATTAGTCTAATTAAAACTAGTGTCAAAATAAATTTGAAGACATTTCTAAGTAAACTTTGTATAACTGTTATTAAAACTTAAGAAAAAATAAAAATTATATATGCATCTCTCATAAGTTTACGAATAATTGTTGGTAGGTTTGTCCTATGCCTCATCGAAAGATAAGAACCGGATGGTTATCAGAAAACTAGTATAGAAATATATATATATATATATACTACCAAGCACTTTCATTGAAATTAAAGTTTTAATTCGACTAATTATACATGCTACTTCCATTATCAAATTGCGAATTTAGTTCGGAGATTACTATAATTTCTATTTAATCTACTGACACTGTCTTTTAAGGTTAATATATCGGTGAGAACATATATACATGATATTGTGACAGCCGTAGCCAAATGCTTGGTAGCACACCTTCTACAAACAAAAGGTCTAATACTTTTGATCGCATATGAGTTTTTTGTTTGTTACTTCATGGAACAGTATTGGGATCGGGGACTGCGCGCCTGTCATGGTAGCAGTCGCCGAGCTCCCTGTAGGTCATGTACCATGACGAACTAAATTGGTTTCGTCGTTCCACCGATACGTTTCCCAAAATTCGTTTTTCGCTATTTATGGCTAAAGCCGAGAAGAGAATCCTTGATCCTTCAATTCTTGTGACCTTTGGGCTCAGAAGAATGCCATGCTGGCCTGATCTGAAAGCCAAAATCACAGTACATTGACACCAGCGAGCTCTATCGCACAACAATTGAGGATGCATCCAGTCATAAGTTTCTGCACCCAACTTACTTCAAGTAGAGGACTGTTAACACAGTTCAAGACCATGGTAACCCAAGCAGAGGTTTCAAAGCCTCCAGTTTCCTGAAGATCCAAACAATCCTGGCTATCGATAGTTTATCAGAAAATTATATAGGTCTTCACGAAAAATATGACACCAACTTTTGAGGTGAGGTCTACGTGCACCGTACACTGGAGTGTGTCATTACATTCAGAAACAACCGAGATCTATCCTTACTAGATGGGCATGAATCGCTTTTAAGTATTGTTCGGGAAAACCACATGCTTTTGGCTTATCGGATAGTGATTTGATCTAATTCACAATATGATCCCTCTGTTGAACGCCTTGTACATACACGGTGTTCACAGCCCAGGGGCGACCTATGATTAAGAAACTGATCTGTCTTGGAGCTCCTAAAGCTGCCATGTTTCTCCTGGCAATGCCACTGCTTCCTCATTTCCTGGGCCTTCCTGCACCTCCTCTCCTCCTGCTTGAGCTTCCGGCGAATCCTCTCCCCACGAATCTTCCAGCAGCTCCTCCTGCGGCTGTGTTACCCACTCAAGCTCTGCATTTACTCCGGGCGTTGGAATTATTGCACACCATGGGTCATGGGATTCTGGCGGCAGAATTCTCCAGAAACGAAATTCATGGTCTTCGCGAAAAGGAGGGTCTGGAAGAAAAAACATCACGTCGAATTGAGCCCAGTATTTCGCCACCTCGAGGTCGTCATATTCTTCATCGAAGACGAAGAAGGCATCGCTGCCTCCTGCGGTATAAAGGTGGAATGGTCTCCCTTCTCCCCCTACCCATAGATCTCGAGTTCTCCCGATCAGAGCTCTATCCATTGCCCGTACAACTGGATTCCGGAGAAATGCGCCACGATAGCTCCTGTAATCGAATTCCCCGTCGGCAGGTAACCAATCCATGGCGAGTAAGCACACATGTCCTTCATACGCAGCCATCTGAAGGGAGCGTGGCTTGTCCATCTCGACTTTCTCTAACAAGACGTACCACTTCTCCTCTTCCAGATCAAACATCAAGAGAGCCTTTATCAGGTATCTAGGATCCCATACGAGCCAATGCAGAAATCCATCACACTCTACACCTTTCACACTGCGCCAGTTGTATTCCATGCGGTAGTTGAATGGAGGAAACGGATGAGTGACCCACGACCATGTATCGGTCTCCGAGTCGTAAATCAAAGATCTGCGTTCATCTAGAAGTAGAATTCCTCCCAAAAGCAGCCAGAAGTGCTTTGTGTATGGGTCTACGACTAAACCCACCACCATATACTTCATCATACCATCAATGACCGTAGGTATTGCATGAGGTACATTCAGGGTCAAGAATTTATCCGGAACTGGGTTATACAGAACAAATTCTGTTGACAAATTTTTATTGAAACACAGGAGACCTCCATCAGCAGCTACTAGCAAGTTGGATGCAAATGTAATATGCCTTGTGATCCATTGATCACTACAGCAAAAGTAGGCCGTGCCGTCAGTACTTGCATCATAGACAATGACACTTTTATTCCAGATTTTGTTGCGTAAATCAGGACCATCAACGATTCCCATCCAATTCTTAGAAACTAAACGACACTCCACAAGTGTGGAAACTGGCAGACCATGATCTCTGAGAACTTTGATGAGTATTTCGATAGGTAAAGTTTCCCATGGATCTCCAGGTGGACTCTCTTCCGTTTCTAGTACCATTGCAAGAACAAACCATAAAGGATGACGTATATGACGGTCATCAGCAATCTGCAACAGCTCAGAAGGGAGAAGCAATCAGTCAGTCACTTGCGAGTTGATCTGGACGAAAACTCCCAAGCGGGTTGACTCAGAAAGGCTCAAGTGAGAAAGATTGAATGCTGTAACTTCTGCGTAGACACTTGTGAAACACCATTCGAGCTTGAGAACGCTGGATGCAGAAATCTGGACAAGAGTACAATGGAAACACTAACGACGAGTGGATGGTCATATAGGGGTCAGACAATTTTCCGTCAAGTTTCAACTTCTGATGTCCCGGACCGAAACACAGGCCAGCGTGGGAGTGGGAACGAATGATGGAGCTGTGACTTGTGGATCGGTCATCTCAACATTTCAGTTTGGATTTGGTGTACGTTTAGCTTTTGATTTAAAACTTAGGCATAGTTTGAAGTACCAAATTCCTCTTTCGGAGATCCAAAAATTGAACCCTCACAACGTTCTCAGATGCGCACTACAGTGAAGAATTCTTTTATCGTCAATGATAATGAGAATTAAAATTTGGAATACGATATATCATTCACTATTATACGACATCAAATAATATGCTCCTTTCAAGAGTAGAATTATCCCATCTTCTGAAATTGGCAGATTCAACTCTTCTAGCTCATCGGCATCAATATCGTCTAACTTATGTTCGTAGGAAAACAAAGGAGCACTTCCCTGATGGGAAGGTTATTATTCCGCTAACAGTCTGAAACTTGTTGAGATACTTGCGCAACTTCCAATTGTGTTTATCATGTTATCTCGGACTGAGGTCAGATTTGTGTACTTTGTGCATGAGTAAACAGAAGACTAAGACAAGTCTTCGATTCCTAAGGCTCCGAGCTCAGATTTTCCGATGCGAGAGTTACTTCCTCCTACAACATATCATATCATATGTATACACATCCGTATGCAGTATGAACCTACACAACTTTTTCCCACATTTCTTGGTAATTGGGTAAAATCGACTCTCAAAACTTTCACAATGACGCTTTGGTCATCATCATACCACCAAAAACATTACGAACGTAGAGACAAATCCACTTTGTAATTCAATGTTTCAACATATTTGAAGTAGCTACTCGATTGACAGCCGCATTCTGCAAAGTTTTATTTCAAAACCTGCTACTCATTAGAACATGAGAACCGTCGTCCCTCTATTTTCTAATTGCGCTACAGGCTCTACCAACCATTCCATTCCAATTGATGCTTAGAACACGATCAGTTGTAGTTTATATATACACTCGTGTATTGGTTTATCTACGTAACCAAAATGTCGGTACTGTACATCAATCATGATAGTTATCTTGCACATACATGTATCAAAACAACGTAAATTGTTTCCTTATCATACATGAAAAATTCAAATGTAATACAATTATACTGTAATCTCAAGATAGTTAACTTGAACACATATGTATTCATTTAGTCCATGTCCATAACATGATACAATTTCTAGTGCTGACATAAGATATCGTTTGCTATTATGCACCATACTTAGTTGCCTATCTCCAATCTATATCATGAAACCTGTTTCACTGCTAGTCCAGTCGAGTACATGGCCTGGGGCTGGGCATTGAGTTCAAGTGTTTTGAGAAAACCACATATGGTAAGATTTTAATGGTTCGAGTTCAAATTAATATACTTTTAGGCCGAAGGTTTGGAATTCAAAGATAAACGGACACTGAATCCAAATTGACACGGTGAGATGACCGGTCGATAAGCGACAGCTTCATCATTCGTTCCCACCCCATACTAGTCGTTGTTCAGGTCCAGGACGTCAGGATTTGGAACTTGACAGTAACTTCTCTCTCGTTCTCGCATACCCAATCTGAATATCGATTGTTACCATTCTTCTCCAGTCCGGACTTCTGCAGCCAGCGTTCTCAAGGTCGAAAGCTGTTTCACAAGTGTATATACAGCAATTGCAGCATACAATCTTTCTCATTTGAGCCTATCTGAGTCAACCCGCGTGAGAGTTTTCGTCCAGATTCACTCGCAAGTCACTGATTACTGCTCCCGTCTGAGGTGTTGCAGATTGATGATTCAGAAATCACCTCATACACATCATCCTTCAAAGTTTGTCATTGCAATGGTACTCGAAACGGAAGAAAGTCGACCTGAAGAGCCATGGGATACCTTACCTATCGATTTCCTGATGAAGATTCTCAGAGATCATGGTCTGCCAGTTTCTACACTTGTGGCATGTCGTGTAGTTTGTAAGAAGTGGAAGGAAATCGTAGATGGTCCTGACTTCCGGAGCAAAATCTGGCATAAATGTGTCATTGTCTATGACGCAAGGACTGACGGCACGGCCCACTTTTGCTGTAGAAATCAATGGATCACAAAGAATATTACATTTCCGCCGAAGGAACTGGTCGCTTCTGATGGAGGCCTCCTGTGTTTCAATGAAGAACTGTCAACAGAATTTGTTATGTATGATCCAGTTCCGGACAAATTCCTGACCTTAAACGTACCATATGAAATCGATGGAGTAGCTACTGTTTTGGGTGGTACGATAAAATGGATCCTGGTAGGCTTAGCCGTGGACAAATCTACGAAAAGCTTCAAGCTGCTTTTGGGAGGAGTCCGATCGCTATATAAACTCAGATCTTTGATGTACGACTCGACGATCGGCACATGGTCGTGGCTTGCTCATCGGTTTCCCTTATCGGTGAGACTGGGGTGGCAAAGAGGGAAAAGCGTAGCATGTGGTGGATATTTGTACTGGGTCGAATGGGATCGCTTAGGCTATCGGGAGGGTCTTGTGATATTTGATCTGAATGAAGAAACGTGGAGTGTCTTAGAGAGAGTCATGGTTTTCAGATTGCTTCAGATTAGTCATGACCTTCATATGACTGAGTGTGAAAAACTTCAAATTGCTGCGTATGAAGGACATGTTTGCTTACTCGCCGGAAAATGGTATACTGTCCTCCACAGGGAGGATGATCCTAACAGCGATCTCTACTTCTTCGATCAGAATCCAATGGTCCGGAGACTGGATGGAGCTCTGATCCGTAGAATCAGAGATGTACGTCATCGAACTAGGATCAGGACGCCGAGAGCTCCATGTTTTCTCGAAGAGGTTGTCGATGAACACATGGTCATTACAGCTAGCATTGAATGGACTATGGAGCGCCTCACATTTTTCAGATTGTATGCCGCAGGAAGCAGTGATGCGTTCTTCGTGTTCGAGACATCTGCTGTAGACCTCCAGGTGGCGAAATACTGCGCCGAATCAGACTTAATTTATTTTTTACCCGTGCCTACTTTTCGCGTAGTCCCTGAGTCTCGTTTCTGGAGAGACCCTTGGTGTGCAATGATTCCAACGCCCGGAGTAAGTACACAGCATGAGTGGACAACACAGCCACAGAGACACCTGGAGGAGGAGGAGGAGCTAGAAGTTCCGAGAGGAGAGGCGGCGCCGGAAGCTCAAGCAGGAGGAGGAGAGGACGTGCCGGAAGGTACATGAGATGAGGAGGCAGTGGAATCCCCAAAAGAAGAAGAGCAGCTTTAGGATCTTCAGACCATATCAGTCCTGAACTTAAGGTCTCCTGAGCCAAGTGGTGCTCAACAATAGAATCATATTGTCAACTAGATTTATAGCTCAGATGTTTCTTTTCCTCCTTACGAGCCAGACGTATAGATCCCCATCCAGTGACGATCAAAGGTAAAGATAGAACGTGTGGGGTGTTTCTGAACGTAATTACACAATCCAGTAAGCTGCACGTTGGATCGACAAAGCGACCAATATCATCTACAGTGCACCTTGAGATTTCAACATTTACTGAAGTGGAAAACTTTGGACCCATTGGTATTATCTTCTGACTTTCCGTCCCATTGCATGTAAGTCTACGATATGAAAATAAAGAGAAGTGCGAATTCGTCTATTCTCCTCAAGGAACACCACGGTTGCTATCCAACCTCATTAAGTTGGAGTCACATTTATTTTATAAGAAATGTATTAGTTTTTGCTAGACTTTCAGTATAAAGTGTTGGGCAGAAAACTTACACATTACTTGGAATCACTCGAAGTTACAAAACTGAAAGTATGAACATTCGAAGAAACACCCAAAGTGAGAAATTTGAAAGTAGTTGATATGGGAAGAGTAGTTACAACTGGTGTTTACAGAGTGAGTGATAATGTCTAGAGAATCTCTATCTGAACTGCAAGGACGTTGCTAGGAAAGTTAGAAGTTGGAAAGTTGGTTCGACTCCAAAGTTGAAAAAGTTGACACCGCCTCTAGCAGATGTCTCTGCGCATCGTCACTCCATCGGCAAGTCTTCAAAATGAGATGCAAAAGCCAAATTTTATCTCCAATTGAGATGTTAGGAATTTTTCAATATTTCTCTTCTTCCGCCCTTGAGTTTTTACAAGCATTGCATTCATAAATGTGTGGATCTTTAAATTTATGGTGATAAGATCTTACGTAGTCTGATTTTTTACTAAACTCACGTTTCAAAGAGTCAAATCTTGGATGATATCTATAATTTGCCAAGAATAGAGTTTCATGGATGGATTCTTTAAATATATTGTTATAGGTAAAGTCTGAGACTGGAAGTAAATCCATCAACTGTGTTCATGGAGCATCTTTCATACTACTTTAATTCTTGATTCACATTTTTTGTTTGTCCAAACGAGTATATTGTTTTGAACTATAACTTTTAAATTCTAACAATTTGTAAATCTCTTTGACACTAGAACTCAATGTCCTACACTGGACTATGTACACGACTAGATTAGCAAGAAAACTGGTTTCATGGAATAGATTTGAGATAGGCAACTAAGTATGTTGCATGATAGCAAACAACATCTTATGTTAGCACTAGAAATTTTTTCATGTTATGGACATGGATACATAGGTGTTAAAGTTAACTTGCTTGAGATTAGAGTATGATTGTATTACATTTGAATGTTTCATGTGTGATGTGGAAAAAATCTATGTTTTATGATATATGTATATGCACGATAAAATTCATGATTGATGTACCAACATCCTTGGTTACGTAGATAAACCGATACAAGAGTGGACATATTGACTACAACGTACCGTGTTCTAAGCATCAATTGGAATGGATTTGTTGGTAAAGCTTGTAGCGCAATTTGAAAACATAGGTACAGCGGAACGTTGCTTCTTGGCCGGCTCCTCTATATACCAACAATTCTGAACATCGCTCCCACCATAAAACTCTGATTGAATCCATTGTTTAAATTAGGTTTTTAAAGGTTTCAATTAACCCGAAATTATTTTCAACAAAAAACGGGTTTTTCCACCCCTGATTGCTGCCGAACAGCTAGATGAGTTGAATAGTTATCGGTCATTTTCAGAATTTCGGATTTTTTAACTCTCGAAAGGAGCATATTATGTGATGTAATATACAAGTGAATATTATATCTCCGATCCAAATTATAATTGTCATTATCATTGAAGATAAAAGCATTGTTCACCGTAGCGCGCATCTGAGAACGATCTGGGGTTAAGTTTTTGGATCTCCGAAAGAGGACTTTCGTATTTCAAACTATGCCTAGTTTTACTTTATTCTTTCCAAGTCGACGTCTTAAAGTTTGGTCCTAAGAGCGGCGATCTTCCCTTCCGCAATATCACCTTTGTGCATTTCATATGCAGAGAGATGCACGTCGGTCTAGCCCTTAGTAAAGCTACTGCTGCAGAAAAATATGTTTTAAAAATTATTACGAATGATGCTAAAGACAGGAATTCATGGTTTGATTTTTTTTTAATAAATATTAAACCTTTTAAGTTTCAGTTTATAGCATCAAGTCAGGATGGCCGAGTGGTCTAAGGCGCCCGACTCAAGTTCGGATCTCGTGAGAGGCGTGGGTTCAAATCCCACTTCTGACATTTACCTCCTTCAGATGTAGGTCGATTATTGATTACATCTTTTCTTTTCCTCCTACTCTATCTGTCTGAACTGATGACACTTCATGTCCTGGAAGGATGAATTTATGGAAGTGTTATACTGTACAATCTGTCCGATGACACAGGAGCTGCGGAAGTACGATCACATATGGTATTTTAAGAAAACCTTGTTGATTTCTTTAACTTACTATGTGCAATGAGGGTTAATAACTCCGGAAATTATAATCCTTTGGTAATTTTGCAGGGAAATGAAGTTCCAAAAAAGCTGCCCTATGTTTGTTAGAGCCATAAAACCACAAGGACTTTCTTTTTACGGTAGAACCTCTATAATCTTATCAAGCTGGGATCGGCACTTTTTGATAAGTTTATAGAGGTGATAAATTTCTAGAGTTTATTAAAATTGATTCATTTAATTTTGCTTGATTGGTCTCAGAACCATCCGGAAGGTTGCAGAAAGGTATGGAAGGTTACGGCAAGGAATGCAGAACCTCGAAAAGACATAGAAGTTGTTTGATACCCAGTTTCCGTGTGTATTGGCTGTGGTATTGTAATGGGGTGTGTATGGCACTGTATCCTGGCGTACTGTATACAATTGGACTGTGTAGAAGAAAACTTCTCAAAATGTAAACAACTTAACCCAGGAAAATCCCTAACCCACGTCAGATACTTAAACAACCAACAAACAAATATGAACAAAAGCTTAGGCAGACAACCATTACAAGTTTCTTTAGTCGATCATAGTCGTACAAATGTAGCTCGGAAAGCACATCAACCTGAATATAAGTTTATAAAAAATTTGGTGCAGCCAAAACTTGATAAGTTATAAGATTATAAATTTTTGTGCGGTCCCGGCATGGGACCACACAATTTGATAAATTTTCGGAGGTTATAAATTTATGGAGTATAAATTTATAGAGGTTCTACTGTACTTCTCAAATTAGTAAATTGTTAGAGACACCAGTGGTCTTCATCTTTTCTAATTCAGCCTTACACTCTTAAAACATCTCTTAACAAATAAATATTTATTTTGCTAAGAAATAGGATTGGGGAAATTATTGAAATACGTCTTCGCAACGAAAACAATGACATGAACTTGCGGTCTTGTTTTATTGGTATGATATATTGGATTATATTGACGTCAATAGAATAGGATACCAACTATCGCATATTACAAACGTATATTGCTTTAGAGGCAAGTTTCTTCTCAATGTACAAACACTTTGGACGAAAGTGGTGCCGAATCTTTTTGTGAACTTTCTTAAATATCAATCTGCGATCATGACTATCTCCTGCTTTATCGCATATGTGGTCTTCATACAATAATGCCTTCAGTATAGTCCCATCAATTACCTTCAAAAGCTATGATACTCTTCTCGGATAGAACATGGGACATTCGAAACTTGGAAATAAAACAACCGGTGTGAAATCTTTCCGACAAAGACCACTCACCCCAGTGAAGTGATTATTATGTGGGTCCGAGCAGCTTAGTAAAAACATCTCTAAAAGATTGCCAAGTTTTTGACGAAAGTTCTAGTGAGATGACAGCAAGGTTATTAACCTGGTGGAGAACACTATGAAATGGATGAACATTATATAAAATATTCTCACTGTTCATCCATGTCTCATGGGTAGGGATGGGTACAAATTTTATTAAAAAAAATACTGATTCATTTAAAACGTCTGAAGTAAAGATAATTTTTATTAAAAACATCTTTTATGGATGGATGGATCACTTGCAGTGGTTATAATTGGCAAGATGAATCTTCATATTCAACACATTTGAAATAAAGACGATTTTTTTTGAAAACATCTTTTATTTGTTATATAGTCATGTGGATGGAACAAGTATAGTGTTCATAATTTGCGAGATGAGTTTTCATATTCCATCTCTTATACTTGGTCGTAGAGATGGAAGATTCAAGTTCAAGATCGGAAGGTTTGCCAAAGTAAAATCATTGCTTGCAACTGTAAATTCTATGTCATCCATCACCAAACGACTGAAGTGAAATGACTGAAGTGAAATACAATTGTAGATTTTACGCCACCCATCATCCAACCACGAGGATGCATTTGCCAAATGACTGAAGTGAAATGGAATTGTAGATTTTACGCCACCCATCATCCAACCACGAGGATGCATTTGCCAAATGATTAAAGTGAAATACACTTGTAGATTCTGCGTCATCCATCACTCGACCACTAGCATGCATTTGTGAAATGAATGAACTAAAATGTAATTGATCAACCACTAGGATGCATTTGTAAAATGAATGAACTATAATGTAAATGATGACTACGTCGTGTACATGCTCAACAAAAATGTAAATGTAAATGATGACGACGTCATGTACATGCTCAACCACCAATTAATAGCGGTAATAAAATGTCTTCAACATTTACTTCACTTTACTATTAAGGTAAAAGACATTCACCTTGCATTTAACTTGCCAAGAACTAGTGGACAGTGACGGAAATCGTGTACATATATAACATATTTGTATTGATCGTGGGCCCTGACCAAATACGGATATGCTTTGAGGTATTGAAGGGTCCCGAGGACAGCGGGAAAAATTTAAAACCTCATCTTGTAACCGTAGAAACAATGAAAGACAAGGCTGTCGCAGTTTACATGACAGCTGTACAGGCATTTTTATATACGCAGAGGTCACCAGTTGAACTTGAAAATTCAACTAAGAATATACGAGTGATTACACTTCATGAGCCAATTTGCGGTAGAAAAAATATGGGGCATTCACCGTTCATAGTCAAAGCGAGACGCTGAGACGTGCTTTATTGACCTGCCTCGCGTGATTACAAGTAGTAAGTGAGGTGTTCGTAGTAGGCAATTGGTCCTTCTGGAAACGATATTCCATGCGCATAAGCTGAGACGCGTAGACAAATACAAGAAATGGTGTTTCTATACACTTAAAGAGAAATAAATTTGTTTCACGTGAAGCTTTGCTTCATCCCCATCAAAGGTAAAAGATTCACATTTCCTTCAAGTCCGTCACATTAACTGACTTCAACCATAGCTCTTTTCCTCCTTCGGAAAACCATCGGTATATATCTAATGATTTCGTTCTACAGTTCATGGAATTGCACTGTTAGTCACATTTACCTGAGGAAAGTTCGGACTACGTCATGTTATTGACAGGCTGATGCGCTGAGATATCTCTATTGCTCAACTATTGAAGTCCTAGTTTCCTTCGCAAGCATGGACTAATGAGCACTTACACAACACCTGATTCCTGCAGAACAAGATAAACGTAAGCTCTCAACAAATCATCATAACGCCAAATCATCTTAATCCCACTATCCATGGATCCCATTTACACTGATATGAACAACGTGGACTCGCTGCGCATAGGAATTTGTGTCAGTGGAAACTGAGGAGGAGACTCTGTATAGTCTACATACCTCACGTCTTTCGTTTCGTTGCTACGGTGGCAACCATTCAAGCTAGTGCTCAGCAGTAGGAGGATTACCTCAAATGCGGACTTGAAATGTCCGTTGTTTTCCTAGTCTAGGAAAAAATAAGTTCAGTTTTCTAACTGGTTTGTTCATTAGGTCGTGATTTCAATTTCTCGTTTCAATGACTCAAAAATAGCAGTATACATTCACAAAATTTCACAACATGAAGAAAGAAATGTGTATCGGTGGAGCTCAGCAAAGGATGAGCTCGGAACGTACCGCATTCACCTCTATTACTTCAACAGCAGCAAAATCGGTTGTCAGCCTACTGGCTGAGTGCTGGAGCAGAAACTCGAACTCCGGCTTAAATAACCTGAGGTTGTTGTGGTGCTTTCGGAGGACCGTCTTCAGGATAAGGTTTAAAAGCTGCCAACTTCAATTGGAGCTCGGAGCGTCGCACATCCAAATCTTTCATGATATTTTTCTTGGCAACCTCAATCTGAGTAAGCACCTTGGCGAAACCCTTGAGAGCGGTAGCAACCTCCTTACCAGGTCCCCAAAATCCTTTCCGTGCAGCTTTCTTCCTCGCGGCTCCATTTCCGCTACCACTTCCTCTAGCACTTTTGGGTGGCAATGGAATAGCGGCAATGACAGGATTCCCTTCAGCAGGATTCCTCTGTCTCTTTCCGAGTTGTGGAGTAACACACCCACCAAAACCATGTCCCTGCTCTGCGGCTGGTAAATCCTCTTCCTCGTCGAATGAAGACGGGGTGGGAAAAGACAACCTCTCCCCAGCATCTATTCCCCCTGGAATGCCTGCTTGATAAGGGTATGGAGTCATAATTCGGTCCAAGACCATCAGAACATTAACCTCGTAACCCACAGGTCTGTAAGGTGCTTGCCTAGTTCTTATCGTCCTGTACCACCTTCTTAGAGCATATACTTTTCGCTTGCACTGCTTAACTCCAACAATCGATCGGGTGCCTTGACAGTGGCGGTTAACAAGAGTGGCAACTTCTTCCCAATCCTTTGCCTTTAAGTTGCCATTATTCACCTCCCCGAGCCTCTCTTCGTAAGCTTCCAACAAAACAATGACAGCCGCCGGAGTCCACTCCTCCTTCTCCCAAGTAACGGGACTCTGCGGTTGCATCACGTTCTCTACAAGTCCTACATCATCAGCAGACGGAAGCCTGTCCATTTGCATCCCGTCCATCCTATGTTCCCTTCCGGCATCGCAATTTGCTTCAGCTTCCATCCACAGCTTCAGACATTCCTCACTGCCCATACCATCATCGATCCGATCGGCCATAGAAATCTCCCTGACCTCCGCAACAAGACTCCCAACTCTCACTTCGTCATCTGCCTCACCCAAGCCTAGGGACTCCATCGTCTCCATCATGACGAAGCTTCCTGCCGCCTCCTTTATGTTTCCTACCCCGTTGAATCGCTCTCTCAAACTGTCCACAGTCACCTCTCCTCCAACAAGACACCTTTCTATGAGAGAAAAAAACTTTGACTCCGCAGCATGAAATCGAATTCCACCTTCCGAGTCTCGAGAAGTCAATATCGTATCATGCTAACAACGGCAAGCAGTATGCATCACGTCCCTCCACCAGGGAAGATAAAAACCCTCTACCACTACGACCTTTCAAGAGCAATCTCCGTGCACCGGCATCGAATTTTAAGCCGATACATTTGGCTGCTCTGGCTGTCTTCTCGACCTAGGGTTTGCCCTCAAAGGAAAATTTCTATCATCAAGAACACATTCTTGCATGCGTCCACAAACCCTCGAAAAGGGCAAGCACCTCCCCCAGAGATGGAATCCACGAGACAAGTGTGAAAACGCCCACGGCTTCGACGACGAAACAAGGCAGATTACAGAACAGCTTGTGAGCCCGAAGACTGTGCAAACGAGCAATTCCTCGTTTTCTCGCTCGTCGTCTGACTGTCTCTCAGAGCGCGCGCTACAGCTCGCAATGCTCGGAGAGCCATCGACAAGAAAAGGTTCGAGCTACTTATCCGGTAATTAGACGGATATACCTGATGGGGAAAAACCTGCGGCGATCTCAAGTACGGTAGGATACCGGATAGTCTCCGCCTTTCGACCGCCCTTGCTCAAAGGGTTTCCTTTTGTCATGGGTTGCATCAGCGTTCCTCTTTTTGGGCCAGGCTGGAGTATTATCAGTTGCCTGGAAGGTTTGTCCGTGTCGCCCACATGCTCTCTGATCTTCCTGGTGATGGTCCATGTGCCCATCCAATTTTCGAAACCCCCCATGCATTTGCGAAGGTAGGGATTTTCACTTCCACGATCTACCATCAGCATCGGTTTATTTTCCAAAGACTTGACCTTTGGTATCCCACGTACCAGTTATCCCAAAGCCTATGATCCTATGTAGCCATGAAAGAAACATGTCTTGTCTTAATACCGGTAGCAGAGATATCTTGAACAACTTGATGTATAAATTAGAGTGGAATTGCTTTGACGGTCAAGTTCTACAATTTTCCTTAACTGATATTTGTCAATTTTATTAATCTGTTCTGATCTCGAGATTGCAATTAATGAGTTCACTCTGAAATGAATATATATGTTTCAGAATTGTAAAATGTATAGACTTCAAGGTATTAGAATCATTATTTTTGCCCTCCTTGTTATACTTGTATGTGTTCAAATCATTTTTCTATCATTTTTGCAAAAAAGAGCTATTTCGATGTAAAAAGAAATTACCTTCACGCGTGTAGTGCAATACATGCGCCGAGGTGGAGGTGACAAGAATGTTTAAAAGGACATGTTATTGATTTAAAAGTATGTGTACATGAAAGTAAGTTAATGCTGGATGAAACCTCAAAAGAAATATGAACACAAAGATCGGCCACACTTTTGATAATAAAATGAAGAAGTAGACAACATCGGTACTGTGTATTCAAGTTTAAAACACACTTCCAAATGTATAAAAATAGTAAACAGGTATCGAAAAAGACAACATCAAAATTTTTACAGAACTTCTTTGCGTTTGTAATTATAAGCATGATGTCATTACCTGTGTATTTCAGGAGTTTTCCAGCAATTTTCCTACACTGGTAAAATATGATAAGAATTTTAATACTAAAAACGCCTGGATGATGAAAATTTTGATAATTCTTTAAACATATTATTATTAATAATTGGGATTGATAATTTGGTTAAATTTAAAATAGATACTTAAATTATTATATAATTTAATAACATTATTGACATGTTCAAACTAAAAATAAGATCAAAGTTTTTTTAAAAAATTGAAAAAGAGCAAAGAAAATAACTCAGCTCATAGTAGGAACTTGAAGCAAGATGATGATAAAAGCAAAGCAAAATTTCATGAATGTAACCGTTATAGAAAATTGTATGATTGTAATTAATCACTTTACATCTTTAAAAAATATTTTCATCCATTCTTCTTTTAATAACATCTTGGATATGAAAATTTCCAAATTTTATGGCATGTACATATCATAGTCCAAAAAACAAGGATTAAATATCTCTGGCAAAATCTACCAGATTTTGGCGTAGTTAAAATCAGTTTACTGAATACAGTAGAACCTCCCAAAAGCGATATTGATATATTGATAACATTTCTGAACAGCAAAATATTTCTGATCCCAACCACGTCCCCATACTGAAATTGATAAACATCCTTAATCTATTTTTTGATAAACTTGGACCGATACATCAGAGTAATTTATGTTAGTTTTGATTTATATTTTGTAGTGCGGATGTCCGTGTGTTTGGTTTTGGGTTGTGTTTCACGTGTTGAGTGATTGTTATTCTGGTTTATTTAGCTTCTTTTCAATCCTACTCACGAATCAATCTCATGATGTCAATCGCAACGGCCAAAACGTATGGTTGTTGCAAAACTGGCCTAAATGATAACCTCTATTCATTGATAAAAACCTCCAATATCAAGGATATTAGACAGGCTCTACTGTATAAGAACATTAAAAGTGTATGGTCTTCCATATTAAGCTCATGAGATCGAATCATGACTAGATTGTGGAGTTTAATTGTTTTGACTTATGGAATGCATTATTATTTAAATGAATATGTGTCGTTTTTTAATTCTTTTGAAATTCTAAATCCAAAATCATACAAACATTTATATTTTTGAATATTCTGATATTCAAATGTTAAAGATTCATATTAGATGAAAGATTTTTTCATGGAAAAATAAATATGAATCTAAGAGATTTTTTTTATATATATCTCTTTTTAAAAAATACTGTCAATAAAATAGACAATCATTTAATTTTTCGATGATTTTGTTTAATATTAAGAGGAAATAATTCTTTATCATGGATATTATGTAAATTTTTCTCATAGATGTCTCTCTTGGAAGACCATCAAAATTTTTTGAAATGATTTCATGTGTTGTTTTTGTAATACACTGTTTTTAGTCTATAAAGAACCCAAAGAAAAATATTCAATACAAGAATACTCATGAAAAAATTGAAACTCTAGTCACGAAGATGTTATTATTTAACTATTGAATATATTCTTACTAACTAATGATGAATTGTTTCAATATATTTATTACTACGTTTCTTATATCAGTAAATTGCATTCGGCCTCTGCAAATCTCATACTTGGTTTCGAATGAAACTACTAAAATATCTACAATGTTTTCAGTATAATGCAATGGAATCTTGATCTGAGTTCTGGATACAAAACAAAAGTTTCGAAAATTTGTATTCTCTCAAATAAAAAAACATGATATATTGTGCAGATGATACGGTCTTTAATCTCTATTTTTACATCTATGATTAGTCTCTATTTGAGAGGATACAAATTTTCAAAACTTTTGTTTCCTATCCAGAACTCAGATCAAGATTCCACTGCATTATACTGAAGACATTGTGGATCAAAATTGCAATGCAGTACACTGATTATTAATCGTAATGTAATAAAAGTAAAGATTTAAGACAGATCATGAAATAAAAACTGTTTACTTTGTGGTTACCCCGAAACGCGAGAGAGATACTTTCCATGTGGTCCCACGTAGCACTAGCAATTATTCAAATCCATTTTATTTCAAAGTACGTAAATACACATCTTGACTCATGAAGAAAAACCCATTCATGGATTTCTCCACAACGTCATTTGATCATACATGCCCACCTAGTCGAGACACATTCGAGCTAAAATCATAAAGACATAGAGCCGGGCGGGTACATATTACACACTATATTTTTGCCTTCAATCATTTGAATTTTTTTTAGATAGGAAACATCTAACTTAACTTATGGCAATCTTTACAGAAACTTCCCATCGTTTTTGGCCCATTTACTAGTGATGATGAAAAACCTGAGTTTAAGTTTCTCATCATGTGAAAAAGGGGTTAATCCAAATCAAATTTCGACTTGCGCATGGAGTTGTGCAGCCATCCTACTTATTTAAATTGTGATTGAACGAGTGTTTTGCATTTGTTGAACCAGATGTTTGTAAGCCGGTTTGTTCTGTAATATGAACGCAAGAATGTGAAGATGATAATAGTCAAGCTGTCTTATGCTGATGCTTAAGCTTTGTATTTAAAATTTTCATGAGTAATTACATAGTTAGGTGTGCATGTGTATTAATATATACCATGGTTGAAGCAATTACTGCAGTTTGAATCGTTTACATGAGAACTTAGAACTATTTTGAGACCTAGACTCAAAAGGTAGAAATTATAATTAGATAACTTCGGAGTCAATTATTTGTATGTTAGTATATGAATGTATGATGACTACTAGCTAGCTATGCTCAACGACTGAAATCTTTGAACCTCAAAGTCAATTTGGCTCAATTTTAATGTACATTCTATTATATCAATACGAGTCAAACATAGTCGTGTACATTTTTTGAATAAAGAAGTATTTTCAATGTAGAAATGTGATGATATTAATGTGCTGTTGAAATAATAGACCATGACAGTCTCTTAAACAATCTTTTACATAAGGTTTCAAATGCAATATGGTTTTTTTATTGTACTCAAAAGGATATGTAATTATGTATTGGAATGCTTTGGTTTATTTGAAAGATTTATGTGATTTATATACCTTAATCTTAGTGACCACATCATATTTATATATTTTGAAATAGCCAAAGAATCCTATTGCGGTATTCAAAGCTAAAAGCTTTGGACTCTTCCCACCTCCAACAACTTCAAGTATAAAATCTGATCACTTAAGAAGATGAACTCATCTTATAAACTTTCAATATGTTTTGTTCTTTAGAACACAATCTACTCTGAATTTGATTTTTGAATTAATCAGAGTCAAATTTTTCCTTTAATTTAGATCCCAAATTTTGCTAAAAAATGTGGATCTAAGAGCCAAGCCACACGACTGGCAGCGGCAATGAGCCCTTCTTGGTCATTGGCAGGCTAGGTCTCCCCTTTACCACACGGGAGGGAGTGACAATTTAAGATATACTAGGTGGCAAAAAAAATTACCGGACACTTATACACTTATATTAAAAATATTAAAAAATTACCGGACACTTGTCATGGGAAATCCGGTTTTCCCAGGATTGATCAACTCTACATGTAATTTTGTGTCTTCTCACGTTATTTCTCCAGGGATTTCTTTCCATTGCATTGCAATTCAACAAAGACATTTCTCTCGACACAATGGATTCACAGGAACTCCGCTTCATGACTTCACGCACCACGCGTCCGCTTCTAACCCTCCAGCTATGGGATACAAATTCAATGCGCTGGGGAGTACCATTTCATCTTCAACTTTTCTCATAAGTTTTGTACACCCGTGTGTTCATATGCCTTTTCTTTTTCCACAGTCCTTCGTGCCTTTCCTTGTGAGGATTAAGTATCCACTGCAAGTCACGTCACTCCCAAACCCGTGAAACTCACGAGAGGCTTTCAAGAACGCGAATTGCCTGAATATGATACAATGCAAACAAAAACAACCCAAAAAACAAAGAATTGTTCGTAAAAAACCTGATGTTAT